GAAAACGCTGAGACTCAATCTTTTGAACAAGAAGAACCTGAATCTTCTTTTCATGACCACATAGAACTAAAAGTTCATAAGAATGGAATTGTCCATGACAATACCATAAACAATGCGGGTAGTTCCAGCTATTGTAAACCTCACAAGGTTATAGAGACTGTCTGATTTTAGTCTTTAGTTTTATGATGATTAATACATCTCAAAGGAGTTGGTTTCTTGAAGGTGAAAAGATTGATTTCACCCATGGGTCACCTGCTAGACAGGTTGTTTGCAAGGATTACTATGGTAATGAAAAGTGGGCCCCTTTTAGAGCATGGTATATTGAAAATTTTAGTAAATCTGAAAGTTCAAAATTTTCTGATGAATTCTATGAATTCTGCAAAAAAGAAAATGATGTCTTTTCTTTTATCCCTTGGTTTTTTCATACTCATGTTAAACATTTTATAAATGTCATTAAAAGAGATTACCAGTTAATAACTGGAGAAGTCAAAGATGCTATTTATCCTCCTCAGTCCCTTTTTATTATGAAAAAAAAATGATTCTAGCATAAAATTCTCTGCCTTTTCAAATCTTGTTAAAGATAATACTCTTTCAGTTACCTCGTTACATATAAACGAATTACTTGAAAAGCAGAATTATTCTAATCTTTTACTCAAAATCATAGGAGAACATATTTATTCTCTGGAAGACAGTATTTCTGTTATTTACCAAAAAAATTCTCAAATTGAAGAAAACCAGAAAAAGATTGATATTCCTTCTTCTTCTGAAAAGGTCATTTTGACTTCAAGTTCTATTCAGCCCCCTCCTGAAATTAAAAATTTCAAAATCAAGTCTCAAGCTGAAGATTTTGTGGAACAGCTTGATTTAAAGCTTTCTCATCTTCATATTTCTAAACCTTCAATTTACATGCTTGATAAATATGGTAGTTCTGATAACTCTGACAACAATCAGGATAAAGATCAGATCAACAAAATGAAGTGGGCTAGTAAACCTACTCTTAATAAATATTATTATKACCGCCCTACTCCCATGGATGTTCTTCACGAAGAACAAGAGTATATTATTAACAATAGTTATAATGGCAAATGCATTTATGAGTGGAGTCTTGATGGTTTCACTGACAAGCATATTTATAATATGGCTCATCGCATGCTTATGTATAGCACTGTTTGTAAAAACACTGGTAATACTGATAAGAATATTGCCAAAATGATTATTGYCGGTTTTACTGGTCAACTGAAAGGTTGGTGGGATAATTRCATCCCTCATRAACAAAAAGACCAAATTCTCAAMTMTGTTAAGTCAGAAGATGGTCATGAAACAACAAATGTTGTTTATCCTCTTATTCTTACTATTATTGAGCATTTTACTGGTAGATTTTCTKATAATTGTGAAAATATTAGGACCCTGATCAGCAATCTTAGATGTAAGACTTTGACTGAATTYAGATGGTATAAAGATACTTTTCTTTCTCGTATCTTTSAATTAAAAGACTGCAATAACAGTCATTGGAAAGCCAAATTTGTTGATGGTCTTCCTCATCTTTTTGCTGAAAGAATTWGAAAGATTTTGAAGAAAGATAATATCKCTGTCAATTATGATCTTTATACTTATGGTCAGCTAATCAGTACCTGTGTTGCTGAAGGTCTTTCTTTATGCAATGATTTGAAGCTAAATCATCAGATCAAGAAGCAAAATTTGCTTGAAATTCTGAAGGAGCATTTTTCAAACCGAAAGGCATGACTTTCCGTTCGATCTTCTTGACAGACTCTTCCAAACCTTGATCTTTTCAAAATTTGATTTAAAATCAGGTTATTGGCAAATTCAGATAGCTGAGTCTGACATTTATAAAACTGCCTTTAATGTTCCTATGGGACATTATGAATGGAAAGTCATGCCTTTCGGTTTGAAAAATGCTCCTTCAGAATTTCAACAAATTATGAACAACATTTTTTATCCTTAGAGCAATTTTATTATTGTTTATATTGATGACATTCTTGTAATCCTAAATGTAAGAGAGTTGATAAAGACATTAATGAGACCATTCTTTTAGAAACTAATTTCAATAGATCTAAGATTCAGACTCGTAGGTCTATCAAATAGGACGAGATAGTTTTCCCAGAAGGATGGTTCTTAACTAGGAATATTCCTAGTAATCCTGTTGTTCAGAGTGATTTTAGAAATATCACTCAGACTGATGAAGGAACTGTTTATA